CTGAGCAGCTAGCCGCTCCAGTAAATTTGTAGATGCAAGTCACAAGGTGTGTTGTGTGTTTCGTTTTGTTACATGCCTCTTTCGTTTTAAATCAAGGAATTCTAACATACATGTAGTTCAAAATCTGCTCAGTTAAAAAAACCTCAAGCACTCACAGATATGGTCAGACAACGCTGCGAAACTCATCAAACATTTGATGTTGGGCTACTAAGCCTTTTTTACTTCCGAACATAAATCTCCCTACGTTCTCATTTTTGTGAAAAACTGGAAGCCCTACTCTAATCTCATTTCCTCATCTCATTTTGGCAGAATCATGTGCCTTCCGATGCGCACGATTCCCCACAGTTGACATAATGCCCAATATTACAACTACTTTTGCAGATTACGTCGCAAAGCTCCTGACTCGGTCTGTGGAACTCTGCAAGACAACGTTGCCCCTGAAGGAAGCTTTCAAGCTTGATGCGGAGACACCACGTCCACCCTGCATGAGCGAGAGCTTCGAAAGGCCGTCAAAGGAAGACCTTGTTGCAGCCAGGCTCAGCCGTTTTGCAAAACAAGTGGCAAGCATAACCGGGTGACTTAGCACGAGCGAGTTTAGTCTTGTGAAACCTGCTGTTAGGGTTCTTGTCTTGATTGCTTCCAGGAGCTGTAAATGCAGTAACACTTTCACTCCAAGACTCGTTGATGGAATGAGTGGTGTCATCGTAAGTGCCACTCAGCTTGTGACGATGCCACTCATTTTTACAAGCTTTTGAATGCCGAGCAAAGACCGACTTTATTACCACGATCGTGGCTCCACTCGAGGTGCTGCTTAGCATCAGGACTTCTGGGTACCTTAAGTGATAGTCGACAATAACGATGAAGACCTGCTGCTAATGAAACAGGTCCGCACCAGCGACGGTCCCATAGGCGAGCAGGGTTGCCAGACGAGATGAGCTGTTTTGCCAGTTGCGCTCTTTTCTTGGCACATTATTTGCAAACACTCACCAGGGATGCGATCTGTGCATTGATGCCTGGCCACCAGGCAGAGTCATGAGCTCAGCACTTGCACTTGACAACTCCATGGTGCCCGTCATGTATCACCCTCATTATTGTTGGTCGTAACTCGGCAGGTATGAGGAGCCTCGAGCCCTTCGGAAGAAGTCCTTTGCAAAGCGACAGCTCGCCTTGGAGAGACCAATACTTGGACAGATTGAGGGGCAGCTTGTGCTTCTTCGGCCATCCAACCTCACAATACCATGTGAGTGTACAGCACTCTCCGTCAGTCTGTTGCATAGCTTGGATTTTCTTGGGGTGAAGTGGGAGGTCAGCAGACGCGTCTTCCGGTGCTGCACTTGCAAAGGTGCCCGGGGAGCCCTTCCCTTGTCTTCAGACCCAGTTCTCTGTGGAGCTCTAGGGAGTGTGTCTGCCATTGCCAGTAGTTTCCCCGGCACAACTGGTACTGCATCAGCTTTAAACGAAGGCGCTGGATGCGGGGAGGACGTCCCTACGCTGAGCTGCAAACCACGTATGAGCTCGTCAAAACGTTCAGCCACGCCGCTGCCAAAGCCGTATCCTCCGTCTTGCTGTGGCAGATCTCTGTCGGGGTCATGGCCCAAGATGCAAAGGCAAATGCCCTTCTTTCTCCAGAAGGTTGCTCTTGAAGGAGTATCCATCGAGACCGAAGGAGCTGGCATCTGCCGAAACTGTTGTGTACTACACCGGGTTGTAGTTGGCGAGACAGCAGTCTGAACTCTGGAAGTTCTTCGCGCGTAGGAATGCTGCCGCCTGTTCGGAACCCCAGCCCCATACATCTGTTGCTCTTCGACAAAAGTGCTCGGGGATGCGCGGCACGAAATGTGCAACATGGTTTACCATTTCAAGTAATCTTCGCACACCTGTGACACTCTCAGGCCTTTCCGTCACCTGTACAGCCTGAATCTTCCTGAGATCCGGCTTCACGCCTTCTGCTGATATGACGAGTCCAAGGAAGTTGACTGCGGACACTCCAAACACACATTTATCTTTTTTGAGGGTGATGCCTGCCTTTGATAGTCGGGAGAGCACTTGACCGCGTTGCGTGTCGTGCTCCTCTTGCGTCCGTCCAAAGACAAGTATGTCATCAATCATGTTGATGCACCTGTCTTGTCCTCTCAGAATGCATGCCATTTGCTTCTGGAAGTACTCTGGTGCCAACGTAAATCCAAAAGGCAAACAGCAGAAGCAGAAGCGGACAAAGGAAGCGATGAAAGCGGTGTACTCCTGACTTTCCTTGACAAGTTATACCTTCTGAAATCCAAAAATAGCGTCCAACTTGGCAAACACCCTCTCTTCACTCAAAAGTACGAGAACTTGGTTCACTCTAGGGAGCATGTGCCTTTCTCCGAGGACGACCTCGTTGAGCTTCGTAAGGACAGTGCAGGGGTGGTGACTTCCAGAAGCCTTCAATCGGAACAACTGTTCCTGCATACTATGGGGTCTGGCCTTCAACCCGACAAATGACTCCCTGCCACGTCCACACAACCTCTCGTTGGGGAATTGGTGTACGACTCGACACACTCAGTAAGAATGAACTAGATTTGGATTCAAGCTAGGTTGTGTACTCGTCAGGTAGCATACCCAGACCTGCGAAGGGCTCAGTGAAGCCTGGCTTGACTGCAGGCTTAGCTACAGTGTCAAGGAACTTGACCTGAAGGTTCTGTATGGCAGGGAAGCCCAGCAAAGGAGTTCTGAGAGACTGGACAACATAAACCTGCTGCTTGGAAGTCTTGCCGTTTCACCACAGTGTCAGTGAGAGAGCACCCCGCACTTTAAGCGGATGGTTTCCCGGTCCATAAATGGCGTTTTCAGCCGTTGTCAAACTATCCGGAAACTATCCGGAGCAGCTGTCACGTCAACTCCTGAGTCCACTTTGCAAGACGCAGTATAGTTGTTGACGGGGACTTCAACAAACTTAGCCCTTTCTCCGGCATCGACTGCAGAAAGCTGCAGAGTGTCTACTTTAGCTTGCTTTTTCATGCGGGAGCGACAGACCTCTGCGGAGTGCCTTTCCTTGCGGTAAAAGTTGCACTTGACTTACGCGCGGGACTGTTTGCATGAGGATGAGATGAGCATCCGCAGAATAAACAAGAACCAGGCTGGCCATTAACACTGGTCGTGACCAGCGTTATTAGCGTTAGACTGAGTCCCGCGTTGCTTCTGACAACCTCAAGAGCTTGGTCGTGTCGAGGTTGACACCTTGACTTTCTGGAGTTGCTGATGTACCCTTGCCTGCCGCGGTTGCCATTTCTTTGTCTGTGTATTCGGCTTGGCACGCTTGCACCTATGTGTCCTTGAGCATGAGGTTCGGGTTTCGTCCAAGATTGTCTGAAAGCTGAGAGTCCTGGGTTCCGACGACCAAACGATCCCTTACGAGGCGTTCCTCGACCTCTAGGGAGTCATAGTTACACTGCTTGACCAGGGGCATCAGCTCCACGTGGAACGCGTCGACACTTTCCTCAGGTTGTTGGACCCGCCAATGGAATCGCAACGATTCATATACTTTGTTCACGGAGTATACGAAGTGCTCAGTGAAACGCTGTACCACGACGTTGTGGACGCCTTAACGGACAGGGAAAGGGCTGCAGCAAGCATCGGTCCTCCGAGCCCATGCATTACAATAACAGCCGTATCTGAATATCTTCAGGTGCCGAGGAAAGACAGGATGCGAAGGCTTGGCCTTCGTACTGCGATGGCCAGGAGGGCCACAGCCACTGGATCTCTCCGAACGAACTGTCAATTTTCGACAAAACCTCAAGATGGGGAAAAGATGAGGGACGATACAAACACTGTGTCAGGCACAGCTGCATTTTAGTCGACAGAAGATCATGGTTTTATAGGGTTCAAGTGCCCAAAAAACAGTGAAAGGAGAAAACTCGCTTTAAACCTTAATTAAGATTTTCAAATTGTGCCGTGCACAGGAATCAAGAAGACTTGCACATCACAGTTGCTAGTTAAACTAACTCCAACTTGATTATCAAGTTGGCTATCAAGCTTTTGAAGGGCAGCTTTTTGTTTGTGTGTCTGTTGTCGTATTGTGTAAGATGTAGCAACAAATAATCTTGGCTTTACTCGAAAATATTAAGACCGCCTTCTACACCTCGTCGGATCTCGGAGGCTTCGTGACCCCCACTTTACGCACCTCTGCCTTAGGTGGCTGTCATATCGAAGCCTTTTGCCCCTTCACGACCCCTTGCTTTGTCTTTGAAATGTCAAAGAGGCACACTCTTGCAACATTAGGATGGTTGGCTGGCATACCTCATGCAGTACTGCTCTTCTATAATGTGGAAAGGCAGCCAAAAGCACAGTAGGGCAAGGGATGTTCAAGAGGCAGGCATGATGAAGGTTCCCACAAGCAGCCCCCACATGCAAGTTGTAAATTCTACGGTTCATGCTCACCCTCAGAAATGGAGGGTGAGCATGTACCGTAGAATTTACAACTTGCATGTGGGGGCTGCTTGTGGGAATCAATATCAAAAAGAAACAAGGAAAAGGCAACGAAAAAAACTGCACCTACATTAGATGCTTTTGCCTGTAAATGTACACAATGTGACGTAGCAGTAATATCCAATCATCAGTTTTTTTTTTATTTTTGTCTTGGGATTGGATGCATGGCCACCATAAAAGCTGCGTGGCAGAAACTCCCCATTCAGGACTGTGATCTAAATGCAACAAAGTGGTAACTTAAAAAAATAAAACCTAGATTGAAATGTTTACACTTAGAAAAAATTGCATCCGCAAGGTATGCCGACCACCAAATCATTGTATGGAACAGACTCGGCTTAGCCAGCGATTATGCAGACATTTTGTCGAGCAGAAAGTACTCCAGGGATATAGAACGATTTGGGTTGCAGAAGTTCCGCACTTTCACTGGTTGAATATGCATTTGAGATATATAGTATAAAGAACATTCGTCTGAGGTTGAGTTCACATTTTTTTATTCCCTGTCCAAAAACCCGGTGTAAGCTTCCGAGGGGAATTCCTCACGCATTGTCCTGACGACACAGGCAGGCAGGACTCGTCTGTTGCGGCGCCCCAGTCTCCGCCACATCCACCGTACAAACTGCCTGTAGGCCACGAAGCGTAACCTGTGAAAATGATAACATAGATAGTAACTTGTCAGTGTGATAAAGTTGCGTATAAAGTAAAAGTACAGACTGCAAGGTTAAACTATACAACTGGAGTGCATAGGTACAATATTACAAAGGCGGCATGGAGGCATCTGTACTCCACCTTCAGGATTTCTTCTAAAACCTTTTCATGTATGAAGAAAAAGAAACATGTAGTTAGATGAATTTTAATAACCGATACGATGGAACACAGAGGTATGATGGTCAAAGAGCAGTGGATAATTGTGAACTAAATAACATCTACAGAAGCACATTATTGTACCGAGTATGCTTGTAGAAGACACAAGTGCTTCTGATAAGATGTACCTATGTTTCATGCTTTCCCAATGTAAACACTTCTTTGGTGTGACATGTAACATCACCTGTGGTGGGCTTTACTTGCGTTATTGTTGATGAGCTGACTAGTTATCAGGACACTGTATTCTAATTTATCTACAGGTTCAGGTGGTATCATCAACATTGTAGTGAAGTGCAGTTCTAAATAATTTGCTCTGGTTCTTATGTCGCTTTAAAATGGGGTCTACAGGAAAATAAAATTGTTCTACTGCCATGCTAATTTTGAAGTGTGGCACTTGTAATGCTTGTGCAGTGTATCACTTGAAAATGCTTTTACAAAGTATTCAAGGTTACATATAGCCGGTTGTAAAATCAATTGTGAAATCAATCTCTGTGCAACATGTTTTCTGAGTTGTTAATCTGTTACAACAAATGTGTGCACAATTCAAAACTATTCTTTGCCAGCTGTTCATAATTGAGGTGAGGCGAGTGCTGTTGGTAACAGATAAATTGGAATGTTTACATAGCGTGCCTTTGAGCCACGAACAACGGCCATTTCTGTAGTCGGGGGCGGATGCAGGAATTTCCTGAGGTGGGGGTCAGGTGTTGGTCAGCGTACCATATGTTTAGAAATTCCCTCCCCCTCGTTTTACGCCCTAAATTTTACGCACGCAGAATTCAAGAGGGGGGTCAGGACATCCGGACCCCCCTCTAAATCCGCCCCTGTCTGTAGTAGTATTTATTGCGTACTATGACCTATTTCAGTTCAATAGAATTTGAGATCAATGTACTGACGAATACAGTCTGAATTTCAGCAAACATTAGCTTCGCTTAGGGTTCCGGATTCGACTCTTTTAGAGAAAGCTCATATCCCGACATGTCTAGAGTATTGCAGAACGTGAATTAGTTACCGTTATTGCTGATGCTTTGGGACAATGGGCTGAGATGAGCCCCAGGTATGGCACCAAGCTCATGGAGTTATCTTGTTTCTGTGCCTTATTGCAAAGGCCTCGAGCCATTGGTGAGCACTTGTAATAAAAAATGAATGAATAAATGGCGTGTCAAGCAATTGCTTTTTGTGTGGATCTATATTTGGGTCACAAGGGGCCTTCCAGATCTAGTGATATGTTTAGGTGGTATCCACATGGGTAAACAAATTTCTGCCCCTATAAAGATTTACAACAGAGAATATGTAAAATGTGTCCCTGACCCCATCGTCGCATTGTGAACGACCCTTGGGGTGCACTAGTTCCATCTCGGTTGCGACGAAATATAACGGGAGTAAAAGGAAAATTCGATGCACATCGCCAGGCAATTGGCAGCGTTGCACTCGCACTTGATGTCGCAGAAACCCACCGTAAATCTGTTCAAGGGCTTCTGTTATTTTCGGGCGTGAACGAAGAGTGATAAAGTGCGCGTGCCTGCGATGTCGCGCTTTGTAAGTATGTCGAAGTACGTCGAAATGTTGGAGACGAACGGAGCACCTCTGTTCCCCTTGCGCCGGGTTGTGACCAGCCTCTTGTAGTGCCCAGAAGGCTACTCGGAGCACGGCAGCCTGAAGGCAAATGAGCGAAAAGTCTGCGTGCTCTGTCACGCATCCCTCCGGTTGAGCAGTTACAGCAGGCGGGCATTCTCGGCCGCAAACGCATTCCCTCGATGTTGGCATCACCTCGCACCTCTTACAAGAGCACCTATGATTGAAAACGAAGAGACGTCACATGGAAACTGCTCAACTACAGATAAAAAGTGTGTGTTGAGAAACCAGACGCGGTGCTTACCATGCCGTGGTGACCAGACGCCATGCATCTGGGTCCGGACGGGGATCGGGCTGTGCCGACATGTCTTCCTCATTCGGCAACCGAACTTTTCTCTCGCGCTTTTCAGGCGTATGCGAGTACGGCGACAATCCAACAGACTCGCTATACGCGAACATCTCGCGCTCTATTTCACTGAGACCGTCTCTCCAGGTCGCCATGTTGAGGGAAACAGCGGCAGTGGCACAGCCACGGGCCACGGGAATCAGCACTGTGGGAGCCGCGGTGAAAGAGCAAGGCACATGAGCGAGGGATACGGGAGAGAGGGGAGAGTCTGCTCTCGCTGTAGCAACGTCCACAGCGCTAAAACGAGGACAAGACCGGAAGTCACATACCCCGCGGCGCGTCATGCGCACGTGACCCGGGAAACATTGTATGAGTTGAGGGGCATCCCTAAACACCATCTTATTTGGCCGGAAGTCCGAAAATGGTTTCATGGGTCCTTTAACTTCGGACCAGGGTAGCCATGAGATTTAGAGTCAGGTCCACGGACTTAAGACGCCATTAGAAATATATTTTGTAGCCACACGTATTCGTTTATCAGCATCCGCGGTTACAAATTTTATACTTTTAAGCAAAGAAAGAAATATATGTAGCGTCTATAAAAAAGGACAGCGAAGAACTTGCTTTGCCCGTCATCTCTTACACCGATATCGATAAGGGGTATTGACGGAGGATCCTATTTTTCGCAGTTCCTCACAGCGCATGGTCAGAACGAATTTCTTCTTGTGTACACTTCAAATGTATACACACACAGAATTCGTTCCGAGTATGCACTGTGAGACTGACGAACTTCCCGGAGTATAAATATTATTTATACTCCGGGAAGTTCGTCAATCTTAAAGGATTTCTAGTGTCTCCGCAGTCCATGAGAAACCAGATGATAAGCGGTCGCTCGCGATTGGCTGTCTTACGTCCGATGTCACTCCATCTTTTCTGCGCAGTATTGCAGAAAAAAAATCGTGTGTCACTATTTTTTTCCAGTCTTTCACAGGTAAATCCTGGGTTACTTAGTGTGTCTAAAATGACAAATTGAATAATGACGAAATATTAAAAAATTCTATAAACCACTTTACTCCCCCTTAGGTTTTTGTCTCATTGTAATGTCAATAAGAAGTCATATACATCGTTCCAGGTACTTGGTACATGTTATGTCCGCTGCGTTGACTATATAGTGTTATAACACCTGGCATATCCAATTAAAACCATTGTGTGGCATACAGCATCAAGAAAAAAAAAACTGAAATAAAAACTTGACTACACAGTCGGCTGGGACAAGGTATTTTTATTCTCTCCAACCTTGAAGAGTTAGAAGTCTCGAGCGAGCGTCGTCGTCTTCCGGCAGAAGTCGGAGCTCCTCAGAGTACCATGAATGATGTTGGTTTCGGCGGCAGCTGGGGAAAATATCGGAACAAATTCAAAGTTCGATATCTAAACCTACTAAATAAGTACATCCTTAATTAAGTGCCGAAGGTAGTACTTTGGCTGCTATAGCTGCCGCCCACATTAAAATCAACTCTAGTAGTAAATTTATCATTCTCGGTACTTCGCTGGAAACGTTGATGATTTACATGAAAAGAGGGGGGGGGGGGGGGGGGCGGGCATTCACTCCGGTTCTCCTAGACTATACTTCGTTTCATTTGGTGTCGGGGCACAGTTGAGGCTGCAAGGTTATGGTTTGTGACTCAAACAGCGTCAAAAAAGCAGACTTATAGTCTTCGTGATGTTTTGTGTACTACGTACTTGAATTTTGCATAATGTTTTGTTACTCGCGTTTTAGACAATGTTTTATTTGTCCCATCAGCTCCTACACTTTAAATCTCTGTTGCGAAGATATAGCGAATAAAAGCGCTCGTAGCGAATATATTCGCTACAACAGCGGTAAAAAGCCGGCTTCCACAGTCCTGTATTCGCTACAGACACAAAAAAAGTAAAATACCAACAAAATGTCGAGCAACCTAACATACAAAAAGAGGTACGTAGCGAATGAATCCATCAAAAAAGATAGAATCCTTTCGTAGCGAATATTTTTTCCCCACGCTGTTGCGAAAAGGATTTTTCAAGGTTAAGGGACCTTGTTTTTTTGGTTTTTTTTTACATTTTGCGTTTTGGTTAAAATAGATCGGTAGCGGATGAATCTCAGAGCGCACAGCAAAGCCCATGGCGAACCCTGACTTGTGCACGAAAATGAAGAAACAAAGTGAAATCTGCGGCCAATTGTTCTTTCTTTTTGCTTTTTGTTTCGTTTTTGTTTTTGAATCCATGACCGCACCGTCGGGAGAAGGGGAGGGAGAAGGAGGGGGACGAAGAGTTGGCTGTAAAGAGAGAGCCTCAAGCCGACAGAAAAAACAAAACCACGCTACAATCCGACGCCGGTCCCGGGAGAACTTCAGCCAATGGGAAGTCATAAATTTTCAAAAGCGCGGGAGATGCACCAAGAGAGAGAAGCGATATTCAGACAAAAGGAGCTATAATGGAGGCAACAAGTCGTGACCTCCGCGGCGCTTTGCGCGGTAACTGTGTTGAGTGTCGGTGCGACCGCTACGTTAGAACGATAGAGTTAGTTCAGCTTGCCACGGACATTCCTCTCGGTGCTTGCATCGATTGCTGGCACCACCCGGTTTCGCACCGAGCATTGGGTAAGTTTCCACAGTTCATTTCTTTACCTCTGATTTTGCAAGTATGTTTGTAGAAATGAACTGTCTTCTCGCCTAGCGAAAATCTGGCGGATATAAGTAATTAGTGTTCTGGAATCCGTTCGCACTTGTGGAAATGAAGTGAACTAGGTGGACCTGTATTGAAGCGGTGAGAAATCAGTCATCGCCAAGTCGTTGACGTGCGACGTTTCTTCGATAGATTGTTTTATCGTAAGGCTTTCTGCGTTCGTTTCGTCGACATTCCTTGCGACAGTTCGTTGCAATGTGTATTACGGTCGCATTTCGTGAAGACATATCCTCCTGTGACGTTTTGTCGCAGGAGGATATGTGTTCACGTAACGAGCTTCCACGAAATCATGCAGTGTCGACGAAACGTGTGTACATAAAAAGTGTCTATGAAAAGTTGTCCACGAAATGCAGTCGCACGAAACGAGTTTTGATGAAACGATAGGGGGCCGTTCTAAAGCGTTTCCGGAGGTCCGCACGGCCTGGAAAAATGAGAGTTCGTCGTCTTCATAACTGCGTGAACCCGTCGACTGGGTGACAGAGAGAGAGAGACGTCTTTATTTTGCCATTCTGGCTTAAAGGGGTGTTCGGTGTTTCGACGAGACCAAGGAAATGAATCCAGCTCGTTTGTCAGCATCGACAAGCATATGAGGCCTTAGAACACCCGTTTTGAGCTCATCAGTCTGGTAAACCACATTGTTTGCTATTTAGCTTAAAAAATATTATTGTAAATTATGAATCGACTCATCCTTGACAAGATCATTTTGCATACGGTATAAGTGAGTGGGAATTTTTACTCAATATTGCAGCTAGAATGTCCAGAGGACAACGTCGTGGAACCTGGGCCGAAACTATCTTTTGGCATTGACCGAAAAGTCATCTGGTGTTCAAGCGACCAAAAGATCGTCCTCGAGACAACATCGATGGAGCGAGCACTGGTGCTCTGCCTGGGAGTTTATTATGCAAGAAACATAACCTACCCAGTGGCGTTTTCTCAGCTCCTGGCACTAATCCAAATAGTGGTGGCGGGCGACGCCAACTTTCGCCAAAGTTGGAGAAGGGTATTTCTGAAGGCCCTCTTAAAATCTTTGACAGCTTGAGAGAGTGAAGAAGCTTGATAGACGTTACTATACAGTTTTTGAAACTAATCATGTTTCCTTATACGCATATAAAATTTCTGGAAGCTCACCAGGATTCACTGTGCCAATATTTTAAGATCAAATAAATACGTTTCACATTGTTTAACCTTTGCTTCATGTATCTTTTTGTTACGTTTTTTTGGCTGGTTTAGTTTAATGCCTTACTTTTCAGTACCTCTCTAATGCAAACAGGCTATCAACCAGGCACGTAGCCATGATTTTGGTTTGGGGGGGGGGGGGGAAGGGGAGGGGAGGCCGCCCATGACGAAATGCTGTATGAGGGTGAGGGGGAGAGGAGGTTCCAGCAAAATGAATGATTTCGGGAAAAGGGGGGGGGGGGCGGGCCTCATGGGCCTCCTTCCTGGCTACGTGCCTGCTATCAACAGTTACACAAACACTGAGGATCCCTATGATCTACCTTGTATACAGGCTGTCTACCAACCTGGCAAACAGAAAACCTGTAATTCCCAAGCAGCACGTTGTGAATGGGCCATCGCTGGCAAGTGTACTATGGCCAACCAGATTTTCGATGGCCCAAGCTTGGCCAAAGTGCTCGGCAATAGCAGTGTTTTCGTCCTCGTCTGGTGACTTGCCATTCACTTTATGCCAGTCGCTGGCCATTCACTTTAGGCCAGTGACTGGCCATTCACTTTAGGCCAGTGACTGGCCATTCACTTTAGGCCAGTGACTGACCATTCACTTTTGTCTAGTGGCTGGCCATTAACTTTAGGCCAGAGACTGGCCATTCACCTATGGCCATGACTGGCCATTCACATTTGGCCAGTGACTGGCCATTCACTTTAGGTCAGTGACTTGCCATTCACCCTTGGCCAGTCACTTTCGGCGAGCCACTGGCCATTCAACGTTTGGCCAGCCACTAGCCATTGACTTCCGGCCAGTCACTGGCCGAAAGTGGCTGTAGTTATACACTTAATACATAATTTATCACAGACTGCCAGAAAATCTGGGTGTTCCTCAGAAGACTGTCAAGAGTTTCGGGAGGTCAAGTTTGAGAACTCAACCCCAGAAACTTTTACATAGTAATGACACGCGAAGCTGCTACAAGGCTGCTCAATATTTATTGGACTTTTTGAGTACTAAGTCTTAGGACGCTGGTTGCGACCACCATTCCAGTCGTCGTGGGTTCAGGGATGGCATGTTGTCCCACCATTAAGATCCCCCGGTAGTGCAGCAGTAAAAAAAATAAAAAGAAGTAACTTTAGGTGAAGGGACAGTGCAACAATAGAGAGATTTAGTAGATCATTCCGATACCTCCGATAGCCCCGATAACGATACAATGCATGCGCAAGGGAGGCTGTGGCGGAGTATCGGGTATCGTTATCGGAGTCATAGAAGCGATCTACTAAAACTCTCTACTGTTCAGTTACAATATTTTTCACTTTACACAAGCTTACTGGCACTAATGGGAAATAG